GGTTTGTGATGTAACATTTCTGCACTGAAGCCTGTTTATGCACATTTTAGATCCCAATATTTGAAATACTGTGCATAGGAAAGTGTAATTCAGTCTTGACACTACACATATACCAGTAAATCTTAGGCAGAGCTCTTCAGTTAATATGAATTAAATACACAAAGTTGAAGGATTAATATTTCATCCCATGCAACAACTTTGCAGGCTGCAAACCAGAGCTCAGTTCATGCAACAGGGTCCCAGCTTTAAACAGACTCTTATTTCTATCTCTGGTCAGAGATGACAGCAGAAGCTACTTCTGGCAGATGGAGGCCCTATCCAGCCCACAGCTCAACTCCTTAAATTAAAGTTTTAATTAACAATGCTTATTTCAATAAACATATATATAATGCGAAGGCAAGGAAGGCAGAAAGAAAAATATGGCATTTTTTTCACTTCCCCTCCTCCATGACAAATGTTTGCTTTTCAATATAAAAATGGAGAACATTGGGAAACCTAGAAAAATGCTATGATGAATTATTTTCAGTCGGAACTAGAGAAATAATTTGTAAAACAAGAATCACTTAAGATGCCAGTTGTTGTAGAATATGAACAGGTATAATAAAGACATCCTACAGATTTAGAGAAGGCAGACGTGGTGGCGCTGCAGGCCAGAAGACCAGCAGTCATAAGATCAAACCCACATGACAGAGTGAGGTCCAGTCGCTTGTCCCATCTCCTGCCAACCTAGCAGTTCGAAAGCATGTAAATGTGAGTAGATAAACAGGTACCACCACGGTGGGAAGGTAACAGTGTTCCGTGTCTAGTCACGCTGGCCACGTGACCACGGAAACTGTCTTCGGATAAACGCTGGCTCTACGGCTTGGAGACGGGGATGAGCACTGCCCATTAGAGTTGGACATGACCAGACTAAAAGTCAAGGGGAACCTTTACCTTACAGACTTAGAGAACAGCAATTCCTGTGCATATTGCAGATGTATGTAATGCTCGAGCCTGAAGCAGTTCCTCTTTTTTTGTGGGAAATAACCAGAGATCCATTTGAATGATTAACAGATTTATTTGTACTAACATGTGGTTATTCAACAATGACTTCAAGAGGATCAAAACAACTAAGGTCTGGTAATTTTTCATAGGGAGAAGGTAAAAGTCCAAACTGTAACTTACAGTAGGAGAGTTTATTGAGGGGTTGGTCGAAACCGTTCTTTATCGGTGGGCTTCCTCAGAGGAGCGATCCTCACTGCACATATTGTGCCACAACAAGGATGTCTCGCCTAGTCTCCCTCGCACGGTGGCTGATTGAAGGTCGAATCTGGTCTGATTACCATCCTCCAATGACCTTGACCCCCCGAGGGAAAATCACCACTGTCCATTCTTGGGTTTCCGTTACAATCACCTTCTTTTCTTTTTGATCAAGGCCAGGTAATACTCCTCCTACTTTTAAGTTGGGAAAGTCTTCTAATAGCCCACACATGTTTTCATATCTAAGTTCTTCATCTTTTCTCTCCCTTTCCCATCTTTCATCTTTCTTTATCTCTGTACGCAGTATACTGAAAACTCTCTCTCCTCCTTGATCTTTTATATTCTCCCCCTACACTGGTAGAGTTAATTCCTCCTCCTCTTTCCCTTTTCCTTTCTCTACCAGACAGACTTCTACCTTTACTTCTTTCTCCTTCAATTCCTTCCCTTCAGTTTCTTTTACAACCAATCCTTCCTTTTCCTTTCTGTCTCTCTCTCTCTTTCTTCGATGTTTCTATTTGAGGGGACGGCTGATTCTCATCTTTTCCTCTCTTTTCTATTTCTCTTTCATAAACAGCAATTCCTGTGCATATTGGGCTATATGTAATGCTCAGGAAAGTAAATTTTGCTTTGAAATGAAAATAAGTATTGTACTATTCTCGAAGGCTTATACTTATTTTTTCCCATTTCATCTTCTTCCTTAACAAGTAAACAACTTTAAAAAACTGTTGCTGGCTTCAAACATTTTGGAAATGTTATAAATTTACTTCAACTTATTGAAATCCTTTTGCTTTCCATAGTAAGTCACAATACAGTAGACCCATTGAATCAAGTGATTAGGTGAGTCAACACCTCCATAAATTCCATTGATTTAAATGGGGCTATTCTAGTATCAAGTTGCAACTGCAGTAAGCCCATTTGAATCTATAGACCCTGTGGAAGAATTGACTCACCAGATCTCCTCTAAATCATTGGACCTATTCTAGTGTAACTACTCTAAGCCACTGGTTCTTAACCTTGGGTTACTCAGGAGTTTTGGACTGCACCTCCCAGAAGCCTTCACCACCAGCTGTCCTGACTGAGGTTTCTGGGAGTTGCAGTTCAAAAGCATCTGAGTAACAAAGGTTAAGAACCACTGCTCTAAGCAACAGGATTCAGCCAGAGTGTTATTTTGTATCTATGATACAAATTTGGCCAGTTCCTTTATCTACCATTTCTGCATTCCATTGTCTTTCCTCTGTTTTATATTCAAGTTATCTTTATTTATTTTTGTAGCCATTTCACAGAAGCCATAAAAACCCTAATATACCCAAATGTTTCTGGTTATGGTTGCCACAATTCTATTAAGAAGCCCAAAACTGGACTCCAGTCCTATGTGTGCTATTTCACCCCACCTGCTTGCATATCACACTAATATCTCCAACAAAAGAAACTGTTCAGGGAGTTTCCCTTTTCCTCTGAACGCAGATGACAGAGGTTACAAGGTCGGTCCTTTGGCATACAATAAATAAATGGCTCAGAACATAACTCTACCCTTGTTTCAAACTCTCTCTCTGTTCTTTACTCAAGACAAATGTTGTCATAATTGGCCCGCCCTTCTTTGGATGAAGGACTTTTCAACTTCTTAATCCTTGCAGCCCTTCCTACCTTATGGGGAATAGAAATTCTTGTTCCCTTCAGCTTACCTGTTAAGAAACAGGATGTGCCTGTGCCAGAATCCTACCACTTTCTTTCTCCTGAACAACTGTGAAAGATTCACGGCACTGATCTCATTTGGTAATTTTTCAGAGGTTTCACATATACAGTACATAGAGATTGAGATTGAGAGAGAGCACAATGGATTTGCAACAGAATCAGAGAACATATGCCCCTCCAGATGTGGTTGGACTGACATCAGCCTAGTGAAAGATAAGGGACCACAGTAAATGCAGATAAAATCATACAGTCATGACACAGAATTGCAGAGTTGGAGGGGAATCCACAGATTAACATGTCCAACTTCCAGATGATGTAGGAATTTATAGCTAAAGCATTTTGGACATAGAGTATCCAACCTGTTGAAAAATCTCCAACAAAGTACACCACATTTTGAGGGAGGACATTCTATTGGGTAAAATCCTGTCGCTTAGCAAGGTATGTTGCAAGTAGAGCAGACCAAATGAATCAGTGGAACTAATGGAAGAGTTGACTCACCAACACTGATTCAGTGGCCCTACTTCAGTTGTGACTTATTGGGCTAAGCAACATGAATTTCCTTGTTATTTGAATCCTCTGGCTTGTGTTCTCTGCCCTGAAACAGAAAATAAGTTTGCTCCATCTTCCATGACAGCCATTCAAATAGTGCTGTCATATCACCTCTCAATTTTCTCTTTTACTTGGCTTACGGACTCTTTTCCATCTTTTTGTCTCTTAATTATACTTTCCAGTTAATTAATATGCTTTCCGAACAGTCATGTCCAGAATTCAGCATTGTAAACTAGATAGCACTGTGATGCAGAAACCAAGATCAAAGGTATGAGTCAACATGATTTTTACATGGAGCCATCCCAAATCTGCTGTTAAATTCACAACTCATGCCCAGTTTATTAATTTATTTAATTTATATATCATCCCATCAGAGCAATCCACTATTCTTATACAATATACAGTAGTTCCTGGACAATACGTAATGTGAAAACCTTAGCCCTGAAAGGTAATACGATTATTTCCATCATCAGGAATAAACACTATAATTAGATTGTTAGAGGCATTTGCATGTAGATCAGTTAAGTATTCATGCTTTGATCTTGGTTTCAGTGTCATAGGAAACCATATCAATTCTATCGGCATCAATTTGACCTGTGTGAATAACTCACATAATGTGGTGTCTCAATGTTAATAAGAACACAATGACTCCAAGATGCAGATATTTTTGAAGTAGTACCACAGAACACATCGGGTGGTGCAGCTTGCTGCAAGAATGCTGAGGATGTGTATTGGAAGTCTGCACCCCCAGGCGTTTGCTTCCTAATTTTTAAGATTCACTCTTTATGTATCAATGACAGGTTTGCTTAAATGATGGCATTTTGAGAACCATCTTTTAAAAACCCTGAAAGCCAAGTCCTCTGAATCTTTGTTTTTATGCTACACTGGCAACAAAAAGTGATTGCCATTCGATGGTGGATTTGGAGTATTGTATGGTGTCGTTGTGGTTAGTCAATGCAAAGCTCGTTAACTCCCACCTAAAGCTCTTTTGAATCTTTCTGAAATCCGGTATGATCGCCTACAGGAGAGAGGCCTGGTCGCCAACCTCGCTTCGTTCAACCCCCGCAGGAATGCTTCCTGCTCGCGAGGAGGACCCTTCTCCTTCCCAGACGCGCTGCCGCTCGCGAGGCAGAGTGGCCAGGGAGGGGGCGGGGCTGGCTTACCCTTTGCAACCCTGCTGACCCCGGATTCTGGTAGAACGTCTGAACAGGGCTTGAAAAGGTCTTGGCAATTCCAGAATTAACGCAAAGCACTTCGATGGGCAGTGTTTGCTTTTAGACTACGGAGACAGAGCTAACCTGCGATGTGCAATATATACCTAGTGTATCACCTTGTAACCATCATGAGAGAGCCTGGTTCAAATCCAGAGTTTTGCCTCCAAAGCCTTAGAATCCTGTTTGTTTCAGAAACAAAACACCCTCAAATCGGTTGGCACAACCATCCGTTACTCTTGTTTTGTTTTTTTTCCCTGGTCGATCTGACACATCTCCTTATAAAAAGACTTCGGGACTATTCCTGTGGGTCTGCTTTTTCCCAGTAGCGGGTAGTGCCACAGCCCAGCCTCCCAGAGCAAACTATCCAATACTTCCCAGATGACTAGTGCTCTTGCCGCTGTGGACACCTCTGTGATGACAGGCTAAAAGAATCAGACTTTACCGGCCTGGCCGGTATTTTAAGAGGAGTAGGCCCCAAAACAGCGCTGCTCTCCGGCTTCTGATTGCCTGCTCCGGCCAGCCGGGGAAGAGCGACCGCAACAGGGACGCCACAGAAGTGCTTCGCCTTCGCCGCCGCCCCCCATCCCCATCCCGGCTTTTCTTTCCTCCCTCCTCCCTCGGCGGCGAAGGAAAGGGAGGGAGGGGGAAAAAAGCAACCGGAAAGGAAGAGCTGAGTGAGAAAGTGGAGGCGCCGCCGCCGCCGCGGACGGGCCCTTTGGAGGCAGGCCGGCCGCTCTCCCTTAAGCCGGCTCCCAAGGCCCGAGCTCTCCCCTCCGCAGCGGCGCCGCTTGGTTTCGCCCGCGCCCTGCCATGTTGGATTGGACCGCCGGAGCCGGGGTGAAGTTGGAAGTTTAGAGGAGCTCGTCAGGGAGGAGGAGGAGGAAGGCGGCGGCGAAGAAAAGGCTGAGGAGGGCGAATTCCCGTCCCTTCCCCTCCTCCCTCGCCAGAGCCTGCCGGGAGTTCGTCCGCCACCGCCCGCCCTGTCTCCGGTTGCCGCCCCGATGCTGCTCCTGCTGGGCTGAGAGCTCCGTTGCCTCCTCCTTCCTCCTCAGAAGGGACGCCGGGCCCGACCCCGAGAGGAGCCAGCGCTGACGACGAGCCAGAGTCTTCAGGAGCGACCGGAGGAGGAGGAGGAGGAAGCAGCAGCAGCAGGGGCCGTGGTGGTGGTGGTGGTCGTGGGAATCCCGGCCTGGCCCCGCCGGCGGCCGCGATGAACAACAACAACCAGCAGCAGCAGCCCCCGCCGCCCCGGCGGGTCACCAACGTGGGCTCCATGCTCCTCACCCCGCAAGAGAACGAGAGCCTCTTCGGTTTCCTCGGCAAGAAATGCGTGGTGAGTGAGTTGCTGGGGCTGGGTCGGCGGCGGGAGCGAGGAGGAGGCTTCGCCGGGCCGGCTAGGCCTGGTGGCTGGGGAGTGGGGCGGGGGAGAAGGAGAAGGAACGACCGGGAAGCGGGGAGGGATAGGATGAGGCCCGGAATTAGAAAGTGAAGGGGTGTGTGTGTGTGTATGTGTGTGTGAGAGAGAGGGGGGGCGGGGGCGGGAAGTGAGTTAATTTATCCTTGGTGGTCCTGTGTGTGTGTTTGTTTATGCAGAGTGTGTTGAGGAAGACAAAGCTTAGGGTTTTGGGGAGTGGGATTGGGAGGCTCTAAAAGTCCCGGCCCTATTGCCAGGAAACATGTTACCTTTGACCTTTGTGAGGCTGGTTTCCTAGGAAATACATTGGGGTAAAGCCTGGAAGGTGGGTGGGTGGGTGTCTTGGCCTGGGGCTGTGACCCAAACGACTGCTGTCTGTTCTGCCCTCTTTCCCCTCTGCAGTGGGGAGGGGGAGCATCCTTGGCAGACCTCTGAGAGTGAGAGAGAGAGAGCACAACGTCCCCGGGGGATGGAGCCTTTCCCACGTTAACAGCTCTTGCTTCCTTTTTTCTCACTCCCACCTCCGTGATTTCCCCATTGTGGGAGTGAGAATGGGACGGGAGCCAGCGAAGAGCAGTCTCTACTGAAGCAAAGGCTAAAAGAGTATGTGGATGGTGGGAGGTAGGGTGTCCCTTTCACTCTGGAGGACTGGGGTGAAACCTTAATCAGCCTTCTTTTCTTTCTCGGAGAGTAGGAGAGATGCTGGGCACAGGTGAATCCTACAGTTCCAGTCAGTACTTCCAGTTCCAAGCAGTACTCCTACGGGAGGAAAAGAAGATCGATAATTGTGATTTCTCCTTCTCTCAATAATCTCTGCCCCTTGTCCCCCTTCTCTTCCTTTGGTTGCAATCCTTGGGATTGCTGTGGCTTTGCCAAAGGTAATTGACCTGTCAGGATGAGTCTTCCACAGATGAATAGTCATACCCTAGTTTGTTTCACACAGGTGTGCTGAGTGCTGCACTGAGGCTGACACTAGGTCTTTCGAAGTGATTATTCTCTTTTCTACTTCCTCTTTGCCAGTATCTAACAGGTATGTTCCAGGAGAGACTTGTCCCAGTAAGGCTTTGCAGTATGAGTGTGTCAACAATAGAGCTGTTTTGTAACACTGTGGTGGAAATTTTCAGCTAGTTATAGCAGGCCTGAATTAATCTGTCTGGACTGCACCTGCAGAATTTCATGAACCTTTAGGAAATGAGTGGTTTTGGGCCAGGCAAAATAGGAGTGGGCTCTCTTTTGTTTTTCATTTAAACAGTTGGCTTATATTCCCTGTGTAGGTATATTTTATTGGAGAAGCCAGAAAGACCTGTAATGACAAAACATTCTTCAATCTTTAGTTCTAATATCTTTTTTTAAATGGCATTAAGGCTGTAATATCTTCTCTGGTATCTCAACTACACTTAAATCTTCTGGTTTGAATTTCATTTAAAAAAACATTTTGCAAGCAAAATCTGAAAGTAGCACTTGTCAGTACACAACGTTATTTTCTGAATTGATTTACACACAGATGTTATGCTTTTAAACATTGTATTTCTTTCCTAAAATGTAAATATGAGCAAATTTATCCACAGCTGTAAATAAATTAGTGTAGATATGTTTAGAGCTAGTTGGGATTTATTCTTATTGGATAGGAAATAGCATGGGTGAAAGCTTACTATAATTAAGTATTGATTAAAGGCACTTGGGAAAAAACACATTAAGAGCAAGAAATTGTCCAGGTCATCATAACAGTGATTTGAAAATATAATTGTGTACTGTTGGATTGTTGAAAGTTAGTAAAGGTGGGCACATCACAGAGAAATGCAAACTGCAGTAAGAATTGCAGTAGCATACAGTACTGGCATCCTGCTTTTTCTTCTCATACGTTTTCCTGGATAGGAACGGCATACTAGAAATCATAGTCTGTCTCTAGCCATATTTCAGTAATAAATGAAATGCACTGTAGATCTGTTGTGTCCTTTCTCAGTGCTAATGGGCCTAATTTGAAGGATTGTTGCATGGTTCTGCTATTTCCCTGATGGTAAAAAGTTTTCAAAATCTGAATTTAGTACTTAGGTATCAGCTCATTATGGCTCTAAATGGAAAATGCTAGTATTCTGTCACTGGTCTGCTCTGGTTTTCCCCCATCAAATTATCATTAATACTTTCTCACGCATAAAGTATTTTGCAGTCATTCACACAATAGCCTGGAGATCTAGGTGAGACCAACACTACACAGTATACTTTCATGACTGAGTAGGAATTTAACTTGTGAGTCTTCCTGACCTCAAACAGATTGGCTACTGCACCAGAGTGATCTGGATGAATTTTGCATGACAACACTATCCTTTGATGTATAATAAAAATAAGTAACAAAGATTAACCTTTTGTTTTTAACGATAGAGTTCCCAGTTGGTTCTTCTGTTATTTTGTTTCCATTGCTTCAAGCGGAGGATTTTAGAGATACAGTGGACCCTTGACTTACAGACGGCTTGACTTACAGACTTTTTGAGTTACAGACTTCTCTGGCCACAAAATTTAGATTTGACTTGCAGACTGAGATTTGACTTACAGACCAGAAAAAAACCAAAATGGAACAAAAATGGCCTGTTACGGGATTAATCGGTTTTCAATGCACTGTAGGTCAATGGAGACTTGACCTACAGACTTTTTGACGTGCAGCCACCGTTCCAATACGGATTAATTCTGTAAGTCAAGGGTCCACTGTACTGCCTGGACTGTATTTTCCCTGCCTTCCCTGAACCTTTCTTGACCTAAGAAAAAAAGAAACAAAATATCCCCCTCTAGTGGTCGAAGGCAGAATAGCAGCTTCCCATTAGTTTCTATGGACGGAAAAGAGCAGATACAGATCAAATGGTTTTCAATGCATTCCTATGGGAAATGCAGATTTGACTTGAGAACTTTTTGACTTGAGAACCGCCTTCCAATACGGATTAAATTCTCAAGTCAAGACCCCACTGTAGTAAAAGTAGGATTTTAAAATACTCTTGAGTTACTGGTAGTGCATATAGAGCAGCCATGGAGAATGTACATGTTGCTGCCCTGCTTAGTTAACTGGACAAAGCAGCTGAATGTCAGCTTGCTAGCTAGCTGGTGCAGTACAGGACAGAGTAACCCCCACCCCCAACTAAAGCAGTTGGCTACTCTCACATTTGCCTAATCACTATGTTAGGTTCTTGTCAAGATAGCAGAACTTATGACTTAGAAGACACATTGTTTTTTCTGACTTCATAGGTATGAACCAAATTTTTGATTTAAAAAAATGCCATAATCACTGCACTAGATTCTAATAGTAACATTCTGGGTGTTGCAGAAAATTAGAACTGCAGACCCCATTATTAAAGTAGTTTAAATTAATTGGCAGCAGTTTTTAAAAATTAACTATTTAAAATTCACCAACTTAATATAGGTGACAGGTATCCTCTTTAAGAAGCATGAATGCTTCTCTTTTGGGAAGGGCCATACTTGGGCAGAATGCTTGTACATACTTTGCAGTAGCAAAGTAAATTTTACATATGAAAAGCATGAGGTCCATACCCTAGCAAGTCCAGGGAAAGCAGGAAAAGAGCCCAGTTTGAACCTATAGGAAATCCCTGCCAATCAGTATATACTGAACTAAATAGACTAGGAGTCTGATTTGGTGCAAGGCAGATTCCCACCCACATCAAACTGTCTTGTCTACCACTCTTTGTGCATTGGCTAAAATGAAGTGTGCTTTTATCTTTTGAAAAATTGTTTTATTCATATGCAAATCAATTAATGAAATCTCAGTCAATTATGTGATTGCATTACAGAAAGCTTAATTAGCTTGCGTGGATAACTGCAGAAAATAAATAAAAATCATGCTACAGAGACTGTGTGAATGGTTAACAGTAATTTTAAACAAGTACAGTGGTGCCTCGCTTAACGGGTGCCTCGTTTAACGCGGAATCCGCTTAGCGATGAATTTTTGCGATCGCATTGCAATGGTTTAGATAGGAAAATATCGCTTTGCAGTGATCGGTACCCTGTTTCACATACCGATCATCGCATAGTGATGATTTTCCAACAGCTGATCGGCGGTTCCAAAATGGCCGGCGGGTAAATAAAATGGCCTCCCGCTGTGTTTTTGCCTGGATTCCTTGCTTACCAAGCAGCGAAAATGGCCACCGTATGGAGGATTTTTGCTTAAAGGTGAGGGTTTTTTGCCCGTAGGAACACATTAAACAGGTTTAAATGCATTCCTATGGGCTTTTTATTTCTGCATAGCGACAAAATCGCTTTGCAGCAATTTTTGCTGCACAAATTATCGTCGCTATGAGGGGCACCACTGTATTGACAGCAGTTTACCATGAAAATTAAGTAATATTCACTTAAAGAATTGTAGGATGGTTGCAGTGTGTACTGGATTGGAGGAAAGTACATTGGTGCCTCGCATAGCGATTGCTCCATTTTACGATGAAATTGCTTTGTGATGGACTTTTTGCCATCGCAAAAGCGATCGCTTTGCAATGCCCCCTATGGGGAAAATTCACTTTGCAATGATCACGGGGAAGCACTTCCCCGCGATCATCCCAAAGGCCCCTCCGATCAGCTGTGCTTCGGCTCTCTCTCTCCCCTCGCAGCTCCAGCCTCGGCAGGGAGACTGACAGCCCGGGCAGGGAGACTGAGGCCCTGCCGAGCCACCCTGGCCGAGAAAGACCCTCTGCAGGCGCAGAGGGTCTTTCTCGGCCAGGGTGGCTCGGCAGTGCCTCAGTCTCCCTGCCCGGGCTGTCAGTCTCCCTGCCGAGGCTGGAGCTGCGAGGGGTGGGGAGAGAGAGAGCTGAAGCACAGCTGATAGGCGGGGCTTTGCGCTGATGGCTTCCCCGCCATAATCGCAAACCTCCGCCGATCAGCTGTGCTTCGTCTCTCTCTCTCTCTCTCTCTACCCCCCGCAGCACAGC